GCTATGCACTTTACGTCGACTATGCTTTTTAACACTAGCCTTGCTGTTGCGCATCTCCGGCATCACGGAACGGACTCTTACTCTTTACACGATCTCCCGCCTAGAACAACGGCATGGACTTGATGGCCGCCACAGCTCCATCGCCGATTGCGAATCCAGCTGAGGGAATGGGTGACGCTGGCCCTGCAAACCTGACCCCCGCTACGGATGACCGTACTTGCTTTTGGGGGGGTATCTGGAACGGTGGCCTCACGAGTTCCCCGAATTCCCGTAGCGATGGCAGGGGACACACGCGGGCGAGGATGAGGTGGCCAACCGCTTCGACAGTTTCTGATAGTGTGGGGGATACGTTTCGGGCCTTGATGTGGGATGTGGGAGGGACCAAAGCGAGCGGGCGGCGCCGCGTTTTGCTGGCGTATGTGTGTATGTACACTCGTTTTTTTTTACAACGTGTCACCTCTCACAACGCCATCTACCTCACCCATAGCTTTCGTTCTTGCCAAAAAATATGTGTAGATAGTAGCGGGAACCCCACGGCTTCGTGTGTCATGCTATACCTATGCTAGGAATGGCCCCGTCCCTCCCCCGGGGCGGGGGGGGGGGGGGGGGACCCTTAAAAATGCCTGCCCTAATCCTTTTTACCCTTGACCCCCCATCCCCAAACCCGAAACCCCCTGGGGGATTTTCCGAGTCCCATGGGGGGGGCCCCGCATCCCGCTAAGGGGGTTCGGGAGCTTGGGCTTACTTCCTTGGAAAGGGGGAAAACCGCCAAAGACTTCCTTTTTTTTTTGGGGCTTCCCCTTTAAAAAAAAGTTATATGCCCTGTGTAACTGCCCCCAGGGGACTTGACCCTCCCCACACAAAAAGGGGGGAACCTCCCCCTTGCGCGGAATGAGGGTTCCCCACCCCCCCCAAAATGATCCACTCCACCACCATTATGGTTACCCCAAAAAAAAAAAAACCGAAAAAAAAAACAAACGGTAACCTGGTTTTCCACCCCCCAAAACCATCGGCCTGGTTTACAACCTCCTTGCCAAACAACAAAAACCCAACCCCCAAGGCAAAAACCCAGGGGGGGGGGGGGCTTTTCTTAA